TTACATATATAACACGATTATATATATATATATATATATATATCTATACGTACATGTACATGTACATATATACATACATAACATATATATATATATATATGTGTGTGTGTGTGCGTGTGTAAATTATATATATATATATATATACCGATGCTAACGAACAGCAAACAAAATTTCAAGTAAACCCCACATACCAGCTCCTTGGCGTGCTGCGCCGGTGACTGAATATGCTGCACACACATATCCACAAACCCACTATGCGGTCCAAAGAACCTCTCGCACACCAACTTCAGCAGAGGTCGCACATTGAGCACACGCTCGTCCTTCTTAAGATATATCCCCACATCCTTCAAGGTGGCCACTAAGGTGCTATCTACATCACCCACTACCTGCGAGTATATCTTGTATATGGGCTCGAGTACAAACTCGACAAACGAGCGCTTGGCTGAGCTATCCGACGCCTTCTTGGTGAATTTGCGTGTCTTTTGGTTGAAGAATACATCGCCCCACAGCCGCATGGCAAAGTCTTTGTGATCCATTTGATCCCCAAACCCGTACGACTCGATGTAAAGCTTGGCAAAGGACTCGAGCGTGAAGGACCAGTTACTGGCCGATGATGCGAACACTACGTTGCCTAGCAACGGTGACACATAGTACTCATTGCTCGTGTTGGGCGGTGACACACACTCTTGTAGTATAAGGTTCACACTGTCGATGGTATGTCTGAGTTTGTGGTATGCATCGGCCGGGGGTAGTTTGAGTTCTAAAAATAGCCGGTCCACCTTATTGATACACAAAGTAAGACTCAATCCCATACTCACTATATGTTTAAGCAGTCTCTGTGTGCTTAGCATGACCCCTTCCACGGCATCTACCACCACCACAGCGCCATCACACACTCTGAGCGCAGCTACAGCTTCATCGTGGAAGTTGACATGCCCCGGAGTGTCGATCACATTTATCACATAAGATTTACCCTTGGTATTCTCCATTAGCAGTGTCATAGGACTAGACTTGATACTAATACCTCTATCGTTCTCGATGTGCAGGAAGTCCGTGTATTTGAGATGCACATTTCCCCTCTCCGGCACTACATCGTGCGTTTGTTCCACAAAGCAGTCCATAAGTGTTGTCTTGCCGTGATGCAAATGCCCCACCAGCGCTACGTTCCTAATCAAATCCCTATTGTCCGTAATATCCGCCAGATACTCCTTACTATATGTTGTCCTGGGTAGGTCTTTCTCACTCCTGCCCCATTTACTAACCTTCACCGGGTCTACAATCGGCACTGTGAGCGGCTGGGTATCCTCTTCCTGTATGAGTGTCTCCACATCCTCACCATACACCTCATTGGCTGTAGGATAATACTTCTTATCTTCATGTAATACAACTGCATCCGTGGTTATTTCTTCTACATGTGTACCTAAATCCATCAATTCAGACCCTGGTTGTGTGGTTTCTTCGCTCTCCTGCTCATCCCATAGTGCCTCTGCGGCTGTTTTGCCTTCGTTGTCAGATGCATCGGAATCTGAATCCGAGAGATCAGGGCCTATGTAGTTTCCGAACTCGTCATACAAATCGTCATCCATTGTGAATAAGTATGTACACTTGTATACTTAAAAGTATATACGTGTATGCGTGAAGTCCCGTGTACTAATGAATGTATGTGTAATGTAGGTATGTATAGTATTGGGACGAACTAAATATGATGCAGCTTTGTACTCCTTCAATGTTAATATACTGGTCAGCACAGCGATCGCACGTACGCAACCACCACCACCGTAAATAGATGCAATACTTATTAATAGTATACCAATAAAGCGCTACATACATCCCCACATAAATAAAGATCACAACACATCCGATAAATACTAAAAAGTGGTGACTGGCGCCCAACTCGAGTACACGCGCAGAGAATTCTCGCTGCTGGTGGGCTATGTCGGCGATTTGAAATCAGAATCTATTTATAGCAGTGTTTGGGCCAAATATGCACCTCAGATTCAGAAATGGACATTTGGGGCAAATATGGCCCCAGATCTCTAATTTTAGGGTGTGGGGAAAAATCGAACAAAAAGAATAATAAATAGAAAAAAAAGAATACCGATGAATATAGAAAGGTCCGCCAATACAAGGGCCTAATTTTCAATCTAGTCGAGAAGTATACAAACCTCATTACCTCAGTCATGCGGAATTTATTTTTATATTAATGTTCTACTGAATGGGGCAGAAAGTCCGCAAAAAGGCGTGTGGTGTGGATTCCAAATATATCTTCAATACACTAGTAAATATTCTTCCTAATATTTCTTATATAGTACGCTTGTATTCGCGTTTGTTCGCCAAATATACGTTATTGCATATAGGTGTAGTTGGTCTCTCATCGTTTCGAGTGTTGAATCATGAGCAGACTTTTGGCGCGTAAGAGCGCTGCGATACGAACTGTGGCTTCGGCTCGTAAGTTGCACACCGGTCCTAATCAATTCAACTCAAAACTGGCCGAAGAATTGACGTCAAAGGTATTGTATATGTATTCATATAAAGTTATTATATATATATATATATATATATATATATATATATATATATATATATATATATATATATATATATATATATATATATATATATATATATATATATATATATATATATATATAT